ATTAAAAAAGCTGCCTCTTGTCATGTAATTCATTTTCATTTTTTTTTTTTACTTGTCACTTGTCGAAAGGCTTTAAATGTTGCCCATTTAATGCTCTGTTATTTAGCCGGATATGTGAATAATTTCAATTGAATAAGTAAAACGAAAAAATAGCATATGTAATCAGAGTATGTTGATTTAATTAATTAGTTGTTTGCGTTATTTATATCAAATATTTTGTAATTAAATGTATTTACGTCCGCCTGTGCTCGATCGAATTTTAATAAGCCAATAGAATTTGCTGGGCAACGTAATTAAATTTTGCTTTCAACATCAAATTGCACTTTTTGCGGCAAGCGCCACGCCTCATTTGCCATGCAGTGTTGCCTCAGCAAATTCGCTTGCGTGTTGCTAGCATTGCTTCGCTATTGTTGTTGTTGTTCTTGTTGTTGTTGTTGTTACCTGGCTGCCAATGCGTTGTTTTATGCAACAAACGATTTTTTCATCTTCTTCAACTTTTTGCTTACGGTCGCTTCTTCCTACTTCAGCAGTTGCCGCGACTCTCCATAGCAACTAAAACTTCAATTTTTTTCGTTTCGACTTGCGCTTTGCCGCAATTAAGTTATGAAATTATGTTTTTTATATTTTTGCAAAGTGCTGACTAAGCACATTAGCTGAACGAGGCGACTGGCCCACTGACAAACTGGCTGACTGTCAGCCCAGTTTTATGTAAAATAAGCGCGAACCTGCGCCTCGGCTCGAATTTGCTTCAAATGCAACCATTTTTCTGTGCCAACTGCAACTGCAACGGCTGGGTTAAAAGTACGTCTGCAACGCTTGACAGGCACAGCTAAAGCTCTAAGCGTAGCCGTAACCGTAACCGTAACCGTAGCCTTTAGCTAGGAACTGTTTCTGTGACATCCTTTGTCTCCCGACCACATCACCCCGAAACCCGCACCCAGCATCCCGCCCACACACATGGATTGAAGCCGTATTGCAACTCTTATCATAAACAGCCAGGCCGGCGGTGGCTTGTTTCCAGCTTCCTTCCTGCCCGTCCGTCGTCCCCCTTTGACTTCTACATGCTGTCAACCAATTTAAATGAAACTGTCAACAAGCAGGAAAATAAGTACAGTAGGCAAATGAAAACGTTCGCTTCAATTTTTGTGACCTCTCGGTTTTTCCCCATGCAAAAATAGAAGAAAAATTAATTATTGCTTGAAAGCGTTTAAAAGCTCTAAAGTCGAATTCTATGAATTTCAAAGTTGTTTTGATAGAAATAAAAAGAACTAGAAAGTAAGGATATCTTCGGCACGCCGACTAATTAATACACTTGTAGACATTTGCCTTTTGCAGAGATATAGGAATAGTGAAGCTTGTAGATGCGGAACTTGATGAAAATATCTTGGAAAACTGAATATTTTGCCATGCAAGAACCTACTCATTGACCCATCCTTTGTTTAAAGGAATTTACATATATATGAAGATCGTAGTGGAACTAATAAATCTCAAGCTTGGTCAAGTTATGTTATTAAAAAGAAAGGTTTCCTTACCAGAACCTACTTTTCGACCAATTCTTCCAATGGCAGTTATATGATATAGTAACCCGATGCAGCCCATTCCTACATATGGACTGTCTGAGACGGAGAGACTAGACTGAGACTAGTTTGCATGGACAGATGGACTTACTTGGATATACTTTTCGGGATCGGATATGTGTCCTTCTGTGCGTTACACACTTCATGAGAAAATTATAGTATCCACCCTCAACAAGGGTATACAAAAATAAAAGCATAACCTTTACACAAATAGTTACTTAAAATTTAGATAATTAGTTAATTAGTTAATGGCAGTTCTTTTATTCGAGCATCCACTGTGTTTGTGCAGAATGCAATCAAATTGCAAAATTTCGAGCGAAGCTGCGGCATCATTATTCAGGCGTAAATGTCATGTGAATAGCATTGCCCGGGGAATTGCAATGTTGCAGTTGTTTTTCAAATTGCCACAAACAAGTTGCCCGTTGCCCGTTGCCCGTTGCTCGTTGATTTCAGGTGTGAGGCAGAGATTCATAACTCAGTAAACAGCAGCTGACATTTATGTGGCGCCCGATTTGGGGAACGATAGCAGCCGCCGGTGTTGACATTTGCGACAGCTCTTTGTCTTTGGCCACGCGGACTCGCTGGCCTTAAATGCCAGAAATCAGTTATAAACACCTGACAAAGCGACTCCATGGTCTGACCTTATGCCCAGTTTGGTAACAGCGAAACTCGAGTTGGCCAATTTGAAACTCCAAACTCCAGTTGGATGCGCGTTTTGGACGGGCAAATTTGGCGCTGCCTTTGGCACATTGCATGCATAATTAAAATCAAATTGACAGCAGTTTCGGTGATTTAATTTGATTCGCTTGTTAGATGCGCCTTGTGTGTGTGCCAAGCAATTTAACTGTCAGTTAAAGAACTTGCCGCATGTAAAAAGTTTGCACGAACGGAACATGGGATCATATACATATATATATATATCTATATATATATTTGTAAATTTGTCGCATTTTATGCTGCGGGCTGACAAAACTTTTCAATTTCATCAGCTTTAATTTAATTGGCATACATGCGACCCAAAAGCCGTCATGAACTTGAACCCAACTCAATGCGAAAATTCTGATTGGCATTAAATATTAACAATTTTAATATTTAACAAGATCCGTTTCCTAATGCTCAACTGCTCCAAGTGCATCCAACAAGTTTGCTAATTATGAATGACAAATTACACAGACATTGAATATGCTGCGCGCATAAATTTTACATAGCCAGCCGATTCACCTTGAGAGCCGTAAGCGACATAAACGGTATATATACCCTGTTGACAATCGCATCAAACCGGTTAAAATAGCTAAGCACAGGCATATAAGAAAGTCAGACTAGAGTGACCGACTAGCAGATACCTTAGAGCATAGAAACACACAAGAGACATTCTTTTCCCTTGTCTATCCACGATGGTATTCCACAGGGGCGGAAGATTCTCGAGAGGTGAAAGGTATCTCCCAGAAATATGCTTCAAAAACAGGGACTGCCAATCAATGTTATAAGATTTCAGGGGATCAAGGGAAATAAACATGATCTGCGATTAGCATGCGAGATGCCTCAATGCAAACGGGCATGGCTTGATCATGGACAGATGTGTATGCCTGCTACATGCCAAGGCACAAATCAATATACCCCATTTATGCAATACAGGGTATTAAAAGATGCGCAAGCTAAATGCCAGCAAGTGCAGCTGCCAGCTTTGGCAAAAGCTGCAACTAATTACACAATAAACTCGTGATGAAGCCGAAGCTGAAGTGGGAATTGAAAATGGAAGTGGAAGTGGACGTGGAAGTGGAAGTGGGGGAACACTTGCAAGGAAGTATTTTTTGCTAGCCTCGCATTGCTATGGAGTGCATTGAGTGGGGCAGGTTGCCACCAGATTGGGGCAACATTCAGGGCAATACTTTCATTTCATTTCATTTGCTTTCATTTCGTTTGATTTAATTTCATTTTCAGCCCACTTTGGCATTCGAGTTACTTTCGTTTTCATCTGCACTGAAGAAGCTCTTGCCAAAAGTTCATTTCAAACTATTTAAACGATATGAAATATGGATAAATAATTTACAGTTTGTTAACAGTAGAAGAGTTGTGCACATCTTGCAACTGGTTTTTAAAGCTGACTACTCTGCCTAACTTGTAGGGGATTGGCGACTTGTGAATTGGAAGTTCAAGCAAAAACAATTGCAATTTCCATATATTACAGCTTAACAACAGCTGAGCTCGGCTTATGTGTATGTGATGTCAAGTTAAATTTGGGTGCAACAAACCTGAAAGGCAATTATTAAAATTAATAAATATCAACAAATCGTCGTTTAATTGACGCCATTCATATTCATAAAACTGGGTGTATGTTTATAAATATAACTTAATATAATAAATATGAGTTAGCTATTCTTATGAGCCGATAAATGGAAATACAAATGTTAAGACATTCTAATTAGAGTCCCATTTGCAAGACGAGCGTGCAGTTTCAAATTTGAATTTACGTTCTTCGAATAGTTGGCAACGCTCTTTCAGTGTGTGCGCTTAGTTCCCGTTTTGGCTCCGCCTATAACAAGGAGCATCCAATTGGAATGACATATGCCAAACGGGCTTAGTTTAAAATTCATGTTCATAAGTTTAGTTAACAGCGCCAATTTACATTATATTCTTGCTTTTACAGTCGTATAAGAAACAAGTTAGTATAAAGTAAAGCGCATTCCAATTGGAATATAATATGTTGCAGAAGCGGTCATTTTAAAATTCCTATTCACATATTTGAAGAAGTTGGCAACGCTATATCAGTTGCCATGTTCTGTTCCAGTTCCGGTTCCATTCCAGCCCTGCATCATTTAGGGGTTGGTTTCCAGTGAGCTCGGAACATAAACACAAGCGAAATGCGGCCCAAAAGCAACAAGAGGAATACATAGCAAAACAAAGGCGAGCAATTGACTACGTGACTGGGAGGCTGCCTTCAATTGCCGCTGCCCCTGCGATTCTGTTGCCCCCGCAGCAGCCGTCCCCACACATTTTTTCGATTCGAGATACTTTACTTATCGCAAGACTGGGAGCATTTGACGCGTGTGGCGGTCAGCGGCAGTTCCATGATTTCAATTGAGTCTACACACATGTGGGCAACAGCAGCAACGATAGAGACAGAGATAGCGACAGCGCGACAATATTTAAATGCACATAAATGTAGAATAACTGAACTAACTTTAGAACTGAGGAACTCATGTTTCTGCTATGACGTAGTCCGACTCTCTGGAAATTTCTTTCTAATCAAAACGAAATTCAATTTAGAGTTGACCCACATTTTATCAGGGCGCAGAGAAAGAGCGAGTGAGGGAGACAAGACGCTTATCAGTGCAGGACGGAAGCTGCACGCTGACAAGACGATCTCGCATAGAACACGTCAGCCGGTACCCTGCCCCTACCCTGCTTTTACCCTGGACTTACCCAGTCTATGTTTTCTGATTTCCTGGGAACTTGTTGCCCTTTCAACAATGCGCCAGTCTCTGCTGCTGCAGCACCAAAAAAATCTCAAAGTGTGGGCGTCGCTTTCCTTGTACTTTCCTCTGTTATTGTTATTACGCGTTGTCTCTTCACCTTTTGTTTACAGTTTATTGGGTTTTCTTTCGCGCACGCACAGACCGCAGCTGAGTCGAATTCTAGAGTTCTGTCCACAGCCGGCGAATACGGATTTAACGATTACATAGACTTGTATTAAATCAAGCACTAAACAAAATATTTGCACACGCGAACAGATAGATATATATATATATTCAGTTTCTAAACAGTCCTGCTATTTTTTATTTCTTTTGTATTGCCTTTGTTTTGCATTCGCTTCTGGCTGCTTTTGGACCCTGTCTACACTGCGTCCGCGCGCTCAGCACCGCAGAATTGAACTGAAAGCGATATTATTGCCGCATGTGTGGATACATTCCATAACCAGAGAGAGCGAGCGAGTGGGAGAGCAACTTTACATTTTCTCTCGTTTGTTTTAACTTATGTTTCGCTGTAAGAGCTAAGATACACATAGAATCCACGCGTAGCAGGCATCAGTGGACTGTGCTGCGGTGTGGATCCCATTGGAACAGCTGTTTGTGGAATCTTTTTATTAGGGCGCGCGATTCAAAATGTATTCACATGTTAAACTGTTCGAAAAACCTATCTTCCTGTTTTGATATATATCTGTGTTTCATCCTACTATATTAAACATATTCCACAGCTAATTCTTAATATATTTCATTTGTATTGTACACTAGTTTCCCAATAGTTTTTATTTAAGCTCTAACAAATTTGGCATTCATTTTATTTGTGTTTTAAAAATAAAGCTTTTCCTCATCATGGTAAATAAATACGTGGATTAGTTTTGGTTGATCAACGGAAACACTAATCCTCAGTGACAGTAAAGGAGTGCGTCAGACCCTCATATGGATACTTGCCACCGAGTATATATTTATATTCACCGGAATGACGTATGCGATACTCCCCGGGCAGCGTCTGGGGACTGATGTTCCAATAAATCTCCAGCTCGCTAAAGCCCAGAATTGTGTTAGTACGATGCCAGATCATTCTGTAAGAAAACGGTTAGAATCTATGCTAGATAGTTGGATATAATGGTGCTTACTTTGTTTCCCAGCTGGCATCCGTGTAGGCGATCTTCCAGCGATCCTCGGTGATCTTGCGCTCCACTGTAAAGTAGGTCTTCTCTGTGAAGAGATTGTTGCGAGGATTGCCCGAGATGTAGGTGACTCTGACGGTGTCATTAATGCCATATTGCTTATTCGGCTGGGTCTTCACATAGCCAAAGTCCGTGCCAATGGGATGACCGTCGAAGAGCACGCCTGTATTCAGGGACAGCATCACATCGTTCATGTATGGCGGACTGGGCCCAGCGTCGACTGTCTCGTTGCGCATCAGCGCCTTGGTCAGGTGCTCGAAGATGTCCATGTAAATGGTGTGCGTATGCGGGCCAAAAATTGTGGAAGCTGCCTCATAGCGCTGCGCTTGATACTCCTCCGGGGTAACCGTGTAGCTGGAATAGATGTTCGTCAGGCCGGCTATGATTACCTCCGTGTCGATGCCACCTGCAGCCGAGGCAGCGGCTCGAATCTGATTGCGCAGCCGGCGTCCGGCCATGGTGGTGAATTCACATGGAACAGCCGCAATGATAACATCTCCGATCTTTAGGATTTGATTGGACACAATTTTTGGCTGCCACTCGTAAGGGAAAGTTGCCTAAAAAGTAAATAATTATAGAGTTGCTCTTTACAAGCAAGAATCGACTTACTCGACCCGTAGCCAGCAAAATGGGCTTGGGCTCGTGGCACTTGATATCCTCCTGGGTGGGCGGCACTATAAAGTCGCGCACAAAGTTCCACATGGGATTGTCGGTGGTGGTGCCCTGCTCAAAGCTGAAGGCGCCAGGTCCATCGGTGGTGCCTGCGGCAAAGCTGTAGCCCATAGCAGGCTGGCAGCCCCTGATCTTGTCCAGCTTGCGTGTGAGCGGATTGTAGGTGCTGCCATTGTAGTTGGGCATGTCGACAAACTGATGAATGAAGCGCACATCTCCAGTTACCTCGCGTGCCTTCGTCTCCTGGCTGTGCTCGTTCAGCAGGCCGAGAGCGCCCTCCGCCAAGCGCTGGCCAATGATCTGTGTGCTCTCAAACATGTCGCGGCCAGGGCCGGAGGCAAAGCATTCACCCTCACCGCTGGGACAGTGGGAGGTGAGTATATCACACTGGTTGCCCGAAATGGAACACTTGGGACCCATGATGTTGGGCGAAACATCGCCCAAATTGGAGGAGCAGAAGGCGCCCACAAATTTGCCCTTGCCGGGCATTTTATTGGGATTGTACTCCTTCTCCAGCAGCAGCGCAGCGTAGCCCATATTGTCGCTGGTCACCAGCTTATTGGTGTTGTTCATCGAGGTGGCGTGCACGGCATACCAGTTGAAGGCGCCCAGCAGATTGTTCTCCTTGTCCACAAAGCGCAGCTGCGCCAGCGTCTTGTCCACATCGTGCTCATACTGGGCACGCTCCTCCTCCGGATTGCGCAGATACGATGTCGGCGAGCGATTGATGTTCACATTGAGCAGCACAGTCTTCGAGAAATAGATGCGACCATCTACCAAGTTATCCGTGGCGCGTTTGATGCTCTGCAAAGTCAGCACAAAATTAAGAAATCAATTTTATCCAAGCGTGGGATCGGGCACTTACCAAGTAGAGTCCTTGAGCCATCACCTCAAAGGTTTGCGGCACAAAGCCCAGAATGGAAATATCATAGAGCAAGTGCATCAAGAAGCCGCCAGGTGCTCCATGCGTGTGGGTGCCACTTATGGCCACATTCTCAGTGTTGTATATGTTGCCATAGCGCGCCTGCAGACGCTTAACCACCTCCCGCTTGAGGCCATAGCCCATCATGCCGCAGTCGGCGCTGATGAACGCCACGCGGTTGCCCTTCTCATCCTCCACGACGAAGGCGCGTGCAAAGGTGCGCGTGTGCAGACCACGGCCCACCTGCTTGATGTTTGCATAGCCCATCTGTAAAATGCAGGGTATTCAAGCAACTAAGTTAAACGTGAGTGCTTGTCAAATGGCTGTCAAAGACTTACGAAATTAATTTCCACTGGCGGCCCGGTTATGTCAGCACGTCCCACGCCCACCTTATAGGCACTGGCCAGGCTGATGAGTCCGCATAACGCGAACAGCGTGATTAGGCTAAATTTCCAGTTAGCCATTCTTGTGGTAACACGTTCGAAGTTGCGCAAAAAATATCCTGTCCGAAAAAAACGAAGACTCAACTTAATTAATTAAAATAATAATATAAATAAATATTGAAATATTAAACTTTAAGGTATTTGCCGAACCAAATTAATTTTATTTTCACCCATTTTTCACCCGTGAAAAACTTAAATAAAATTTTAGGAAAATTAGACATAGATATTTTAAGCTGAGCTCAAGTCGAGAGGTGAAAAACAAAAGCTTACAAACAACTATTTCCCTTCCGTAAGAAAGACTTCCAATATCGATGCTTAAAGATTGAGTAAACTGAGAGTTTAACTTCCGTTCATACAACTTTTGACCTTTGAGTGAATTTTCCAAAACATGTGATAAAAGTGAGCTTAAGAACGATAAAAAGTGAAACACATGTTTTCCGTCAATCTTTCACACTTTTCGGTGGAATATACAGTGAATATACATGAATAATAATAATAATAATAATAATAATAATTTGAGCAAAGGATAATTAATTGATAATACATTATGTTAATGCTATGTTAACAGATCAATGTTATTGTGTCGTAGGAATATCTTTTAATGCCGACACGTAAAAGTTAAATGTTTTTAACTTTAGGGTATATTTTAAAATATGTATCAATTTGAAAAATGATTACAAATTATTTAGCCTACAGTCTCTATTGGGGGTATTAGCTTAAGTATATGTAGCCTTAGTTAAATACGTAATTGTCGTTAAGTAACTGATTAACGGATTCATATTTACACACAATACTTCGCAGGAGCGATAAGATTATTATTATTTAACCTTATCGATTGACAACATTTAAGTAAAGAGTGTATCACACAGATCAGAAATTTGCCAATTTTGTTGTCAATCAATTAACAGTGCTTAAGTATTTTGCAAACAGTGACAAATTGTTGGGCAATATAATCAAAAGCCTAGCCAACTCTTGAGGCCAGACAGCCCATCAATAGATATAATAGATATAGATATGTATATGTATATATATTTATATGGACAATGCGGTCGTGTCTGCCAACGATAAATGCTAATTTATTGTTGTGTCTGTAATCGCAGTGGCCTCCAGCAGTTGCATCCCATGAATAAAATATATAAATCAAAAGCAACAACAACCAGGAGAACAACAACAACTTCCCTTTGTTGTTGCTCTTGCTGCGCTCTTATCAGCTGGAAATAATAAACAACAACAACAAGTGCGACTGCGACTCGCTACAGAAACCATATTTTTATCAGCTTGCGAAATTTGCAGCCTTCTGCTACTGTAGCTACTGCTACTTTACTGCTGGTTTTACAGATATTGTATCTTGGCCTATGTAAAATGTATCTATAAGCGAGCATATTTAACTAGCGTATGCGGGCCACGTTCCATACAAAAGAACTATAGTTTAGCAGGCGCTAAATAGAAAATCGAGTGAGTAATTGTTTTGTATGCCAAGGCATGCCCCTGCCGCCCTCTGCCCAGGCCCAATCGAGATTGTCGCGCGCCTTGCATAATTCAGTCGACGGGCTGACATTGAAAACGAAAATTAAACAAATGCACACTCATATGCCGCTGGCCTGGCCACAAAAGCCGAAAAGACCCAAACGGCGGCCAAAGCGACAAAACGACAATAAAAAATTTGAAAAAAAAAGACAAGAACGAAATTGAAATACCCTTGTATAGGCTTAGAAGTTCCAAATGGGATATATACAAGCATTTAATACCGCATTGCAGATTGTTAAATGTAAAGCAGAACTCGTAAATGCAGAGTACGAAGAAATATGTATTTAAAAAATCGCATAGAGCTAGATTATATAGTAGTCCGATATTGCCAAGATTGTGCTCATATGCCAGGAGCTTGCTCACGATAGCTTGCAAAGGAAACAGAAACTGAATACTTGACCCATGGCAGCTATATGCTATAGAGGTCCAATCTGCTAGGTGAACTTGTGCAATATCTGTGGCTATTGTTCAAGTTTATATATACTTGATCAGCTCTTAGGAGTCTTCGTCTACATATTACATATTGTGTGACCAAATTGGAATACCCTTAACAAGGGCATAAAAACCAAAAGCATAGTTAACGTTACCAGCTGCAGGGCCATCCGACAGATACACAGATACAAGTTCAAGCTTGTAACTCATGAAATTACTATTCTTTTTTTTTTTTTGCCTATATACAAGTTCAGCTAATATAATGTATGTTTATTTATACAAATTTTAATGTTTGCCCGCAGTTTTGGATGTTTTTGCATTTGGTTGCACTTCTTGTTGTTTATTGTCTCAGCGAACATTGAATTCCGCTTGAATCCGAATTGTAATTGGTTTTTATCTGATTTTAATTCGGCCAATTTCAGTTTAGGTATTGTGCTGGCGCTGGCCATTGTGCGCATTACTTACAAAAGATTCAAATGTATCTCTTGGATACACGCTGCGTCAGCGTCGCCGCTGGCATCCAATTGAGCGAATTACAGAAGATTTCGGTTCATAGGGGCGCTGCTGCCTGCTGATGAGCCTTTTCATACACTTTTTTCTTTCTTTTTTTATTTTTGTCAATCCCCGCTTTGTGAATCGGGCAGAGCGTTTACGCTGTTCAGTTTTCGAGGTTAAGCGCGGCACTTGTTTCGCTTATGCAATGGGCTCCTTTGCCTTGGCACCGATTCGATTGGACTTCGATGAGGCTATATTCAGCCAATAAATATACACTTGCGTATCAAGCTACTAATGCGACAAATAAACAAAGAGCACTAATTTTTACCTTATTTACAATTAAAACTGGAAGCGATCGCCACTTCATGGGATTGTCATTGTTTTCATTTAGGAGCTTATCTCACGCACACCCCTCAATTAAGTCCAGAATTATGGCACAAATGATCGCGATTGGCGGCCAACATGTAAAACACTTGTTAGTTTTTAAGTCTGTTATTTAGTTGTTGGACACAATTTTTCGATCGCTTGCAAAAGTCGAAACTAATTTCGAAACACGCCGCATCGATCGGATTATTTATCTGCGTGCACAAGAGACTTTGCCCCCGCCAGCCATGCCCCCCAACAACAATAACACAAACAGCAGCAACAACAACAACAACAGTAATATTGCCAAGAAAACGAAACTGAGACCGAAACCGAGTCCGAGTCCGAATTTCGGTGTCGAAGTCGCGTGGTTTGTAAATGACGCCCGCTATGCGCCCAAGCTGGCACTCGACTGCTGCTCGGCGACTGGGCCACAAGCTGACCAAAAGATGGCAGCGCGCTCTCTCGCGGCGCAAGTTTCGGCTTTTATTTATTTATTTATTTTTTGTTGAATAGTTTTTCGTGTTTTTTGTTTCTTATTTGCTTTGCAGTGATTGTCGTCCAGCGATCAGTTTAGTCATTCGTCAACTGCTCAAGTACTCAATTGCTCATGCAGGCACTATCAAAGCTGGAACTCTGAGTCGCAGTCGCAGTCGCAGTCGCAGTCGCCGTCGCAGTCGCAGTCGCAGTCCGAGTCCATTGTGGGGGCGCTTGAACGTGCCTGAGATCGATTTCCCTTTGTCTCTCTCGAGCATAGCCCCATGCTTACTTATATTCATGTTGGCAATATTCTTCTGATTTGATAGCTTATCGCAGATATAACAAGAGATTAGCTAAACTTACAGGTAAATTAAGCTGTTTAAGCCAACTGAAGTTTACACTCAGCATATATTAAATAAATAACCAAATTTAGCCTGATTGCACTATGAAACTATTACTTATTACAGATTTGAAGATATATAACTCTTCCTTAAGCCACAAAACTTAGTTACTGTTTCGATGCTTACTTACTTTCAAAATTATGCGGTTCCTCACACTACAGGTCGCAGCCAGGCTCTATAACTAAATAGGAATAGTACGCAAACAGTTGCTAAAGTTTGGTCAAGTGGGGGTCTTTAAAAATAATAACTGATAACTACCTATGAAGATTAGCTAAGCTATAATTTTAAGCGCGATAAGGATTAATGGTATGTGCGAAGGCCCACCTGCGCACACACACGCACACACACATTCCATAATAAGATGCGCGCATAAGCAAATATAATAATTACATATGAAAATTTGTTGCATTTGAAACTCAAACCGACAGCTCAAAATTGCGTTTACAGTTCTGTGGGGTATTTATTTGCATAAATATCGATAATCGAAAATCTATCGATAGCATTCCCCGTAACAGCTGTTAAAGCAGCTGTAAAGGGAATATTTTATTTTTTCAAACAAACAGCTGTTCTTGTAGTTTTCAAGCGACGCCACAACCACCACCACCTGCGTAATGAGTAATTCGTTAACAATTGTTACAAAATAACCAAATCCTTGACAAGGGCAATTCCACAAATGCAAACTGGAGCAAAAAGACATTGAAAAGCTAAGCTGGATCGCGCAGGGACAACAAAAAAGCTGAGGCGAAAAAGACAGAACTGAAGCCAGCAAAAAAGAAAAACAATAAGAAAAGAAAAAACATGTCGAAGGCGGTGAACAACATGAACATGGCCATTGTGGAGCCGCAGGAGCGCATGAAATACCTGTCCCACTGCGGCAATCTCATCGATGTAGACAAAAATATGCCTGTGACGCGGTAAGTTGGAAATTCCAAGACTCCACAGTTGTGGCGCCAAGCGGTAAGCCTGCTCCAATGTCACAGTCCACCACAAGAAAAGGCCTTGGACGCGCATTTGCCTTTTGAAGGATATTCTCCTTTGGCACACTGTGGCTGTGTGTGTGTGTGTGTGTGTGTGTGTGTGTGTGTGTGTGTGTGTGTGTGTGTGTGTGTGTGTGTGTGTGTGTGTGTGTGTGTGTGTGTGTGTGTGTGTGTGTGTGTGTGTGTGTGTGTGTGTGTGTGTGTGTGTGTGTGTGTGTGTGTGTGTGTGTGTGTGTGTGTGTGTGTGTGTGTGTGTGTGTGTGTGCACACATGCAGCATGCATTCATGTGCATAGGCAAGTGTGTGCTTGTGTGGGGTGGCATACATATCTTGGTCCTTTTGGCACCCAGCTGCATGCCATTATCAACAACAACAAAAACAATAACAATTATTATTATATGCCAAGTGAATTGTGAAATGTTGCCTCCCGCAGCTACTACCGCGCCGGAACGGAGATGCTGCGCATGGCTAACGTCTATTTGAATGAGGGCAACCATGAGAACGCGTTTATACTCTACATGCGCTACATGACGCTCTTCATAGAGAAGATACGCCAGCATCCCGACTATGCCAGCGTTAAGGCCGAGGTGAAGGCCATCAATAAGACGATTAAAGACGAGATCATGCCCACAACGGAAAAGCTGCGCACCAAGCTGCTGGGCCAGTATCAGCGTGAGTATGAACAGTTTCTGGCCAACAAGGAGGCGGAGCGTATGCGCGAACAGGAACGTGAGCGCCAGCAACAGCTGGCCAACAAGAAAGCAGCGGCAGCGGGTACTGTTCCTTCCCTTATACCCGCCAATCTGCATGTGCAAATAGATCCGAGCAACCAGCCAACTGCACCAGATCTGGGTCTATTGGACCAGGTGGTCTATCCAAATGATTTTCCCACGGGTACCAATCGCAACCACTTACCCAATTCTGGTCTGCTGCTGCCCGCAGTAGCTGATCCAAGCGCGGACAGGACATCCAAGTAAGTGTATGATTCACTTTGACGCGAGTCACGAATGATTATTTGATTGCCTTGCAGCTCGTCCTCGAAACCCGGCTTTGATCGCAGCCGGAAGCCGCAATATAACCGCACTGATTCGCTGCTGGCGGGCTCGCTGCGCACCGTCAATGTACCTGGGGATACCATGGAAGTGTTCTTGAAGTTGGCGCATGCCAATACCTCCAACAACATTGAGACTTGTGGCGTGCTGGCTGGCCATCTGGCGCATGACCAGCTCTATATAACGCATATTATTACGCCGCAGCAGCATGGCACGCCCGACAGCTGCAACACGATGCACGAGGAACAGATCTTTGATGTCCAGGATCAAATGCAGCTCATTACGCTCGGCTGGATACATGTAACCAACAAGGAAAGGAAAGCTGCTCATGCATATATCTAATCTATTTTTCATTATGCTAGACCCATCCCAGCCAAACTGCATTTTTGTCCTCCGTTGACTTGCATACGCACTGCTCCTACCAGATGATGATGCCCGAGGCAATCGCCATCGTCTGTGCGCCCAAGTACAATACGTGAGTCATTGCTTTGACTTTCCCAATGAATCAGTTTGTGAGCAATGTGTACGATTTATTTTTAGAACTGGTTTCTTTATACTCACGCCTCATTATGGCCTGGACTACATTGCACAATGCCGGCAAACCGGCTTTCATCCCCATCCCAATGATCCACCGCTGTTCATGGATGCACAGCACATCAAAATGGATGACCAGTCCAAGATCAAAGTCATCGATCTGCGCAGATAGTATGCTGAAGTCTTAGTCTAAAGCAGCAGCCAAAATCAACCAGCTAATAGCACATTGAAACCGCGTCAACTTGGTCAACCCACTGGATGCAGAAGCAGCGAATTTAACAAATGCTATAAGACAGAACTCATTGAGACAACAACAAACAACAAAAGCCGTCGCTTGCGAATATCAAAATTTATGTTGGATCAATCCATAATGCAAAACACACACACACACACACACACACACACACACTATAGTGATTAACGATTTTAGGAGTACGTGATAAACCGCGAGTTTCAAAAGGGAACTACAATTCAATCGTAGCATACCTACAGAAAACGACATATTTTGCGAGTTTGTACAGTGTATTTTTGCAAGAAATTAATCGATGCGGCGATTTAGAACAGATAAAATAGCATTCTTTTAGCTTTTAGTTCAGGCGTGGCAATTTAGTCGCATTTTAAGGTCTGCAATATGAAAATTGATTTATGTGATTTACAATTGTGGCTTATATTTTTGTTAAAACTAATTTTATGTGTGCATGTATTTATTATGTCTGTCAAGGAATTATACACTCTATACACCGCTACTAAAGCAGCTAATGCAAAATCTTTGAATAATGATATTTATATATTTACCTAATATTGCTAAAAAAAAAAAAAACTATGAAATAACATGTTGTTTAAAAAAAAGAAAAAACCACACAATGGTAATCGTGTTATGTATGCTTACTAAATTGCTTTATTCAATAAACATGTACATTATTTTAAGCTGGCGTCTTTCAATTCGAATGAATTCATAGTTCGAGTAGTTCATATAAAAAAATCCCAATTTAAATGTTAAGCAATGTTATTCGGCAGCTCTGTTAAAATTTCCCTACTGTCATAAAAGCCCTTTGCGCTTACATTTCCCGCCCACAGTTTTGCGTGTTTTCTCGACTCGTGCGGAATGCCCAGGTCAAAGAACAGGACCCGGAATTCAGCAGCCGCAAAACGCTAAAAATAATTTAATTAAAAAGCATTGCACGACGATAAAAGTAACTTATATTTGTGGTGTGAATAATAATCGATAAAAGAGCAGCCAGCATTAAAGACAAACGCATCGAGCTAAGCAACTAAAGGCAAAGGGGAGGGGTACGCCTCGCATCGCTGTTGCCGTGTGCCCTTTGCCCTTGATTCAATTCATTTCAAAGGGGCAAGCGTAATAATTAAACAAAATATATGAAAATCAGCTCAACGTGCTATTCAAAACTAAGTATTACACATTATTGTTCTTGTTAAGTTTTGTTTGGCGCCGGCACAGCTGCTTGGCAATACGCTACTCCCTCACCCCCCCTCAGCTAGCATCCGTTGCTGATATAATGCCAATGCTCGAATCGGCTCCAATTACTTGGATAACACAACTGAAAATCGCCCAATGTCAAGAAGTAAGTAGAGTGCGTGTTAATTAAGGCCTTCACTTAACACGAGCAACAGAAACGCACGTGTGTGTATATAGAAATAAGCCGTTAACAACTTATATATAGTAACACGCATACCCTGTTGTTCATTTTTAGAGAGTGTTTAAGAGACCGAAAGAGTATTCATTTGCCTGATATAAGCTGATAAGCGCACTTTAATCAGCTAAAAGCTCCCTAATTACATATCTGTTTTATCTGTGTGTTGTTAACACTAGAGTTGAGGCCATAGCCCTTATCCAGCCAGGGTTGCCACCTGTAAAATGAACCGCTTAACATGCCCATCCTTTGCTTTTTTAATGGCCATCAAGGAAACGAGCTAACACGGGGCACAGGAAGTACTGTGAAAGCTCCGTCAATGG